TACTTGAAAAGCTTGTCACAATGAATAACTGTGATCCCCACAACGTTAGGCTCATTTGGAAGCTCTTGTTTCTCTAAATCAAAATATATTTTTGCTGGGATCATGCATTTTATAAGCAAATGGATCCTTCAAATTCTTCAAAGCAATAAGAATAAAATACAACAAATCTTGAATCATGATACCTAGAGTGGGTATCATCTTTTTAACTATAGGGTCATTGCCTTCTGCACCCAGGACATGCAGATGGAGAGAGAATTATAAAATAGCACAGCAAAAAATATCATCATCATAATCCACCTTAGACCCTATTCTTGATGTAATACAGGATAGTAGAGGACTTGCTCTGACTAGTAATTCCAGGCAGCTCACTATCCACCTCTCAATGTGAGGAAGGTGTTTGAGATCCCTGGCACACAGAGTATCATAGTTGACAGCTGTAATATTAAACTGAAACATGTAAAGCTCAGCATCCCAGTTTCAATAGTAGGATCCAGTCTGTTTGTTCACCTTGTGCATTTATCTTCAATATTGCTGTATATATTTTCTGCTAGGAATCATGTTGTGTAATAAAACTGTACAGCCATGAGACAAGAGGAGATTAAATGAGCCCTAAGAGAACTGTTGGAAGGCAGCCTTGTATCCCTTAATCTGATGCTATTGTCTCTTCTTATTGTCAGCCCATGGTATGCATTTCTAATTTTGGATTCTCTACACTATACATCTATGGATACAGCATGTCTCAATTTAGGCACTGTTTTAAAGCATTTTCATAGAGCTTTGTGTTCTTAGAGTGTATTTTGTTTTGCAGATTTTAGCATCTACTCTTAATACTTCAAGTCTAGACCATTAATTCTGACTTAGAAGAACATCCTAGGGCTAATGCAAATGAATCCTGGGTGCATGGCAGCTCCTGAAAATTTGATTGCTCAGTGGCTCCTGGCAATCAAATTTTAAGCAGCTACAATCCTCAGCAAGTCATTATAATGAAATGTAATGAAAAACTGCAGCACAAATGCAAAGTGTAGCTTCTTGTTTGATTCAGGCAGCCTTCTTCTGTGATAGGGATTCATATTTTTTATTTATTTCATATGTATTATGTTCTAAGCTTTTCATATACCAGCTACTTCAAAGACAAAGGAACTGACAGCAGAACTTCATTTATTCAAATAATACTCCAGGCATCATTCAAAATAGAAGTATGGGTAAATGACATTAAACTAGGTTACAGAAACATGGGAATATGAGAGACCTGAATTTTCTGATAACTGGGAATGAACAACAGTGAGGGGGGTTCTTTTCTTACATCACATACAATAAACCCACAGTGTCCCCTTAACCTTGCACAGTTCATCTACTCTCTCTAAAAGGATGTTACTATGTTAAGAAATAAACAAAACTGCTTGCCTAGAAAAGATGCATGAAATATTTGGAGTCTCCATTTCTCATATATATAGTTCTCACATCCTGAAAATGGATATTTTACACTGTTCTGCACATGTCCAATTATCCCCTGGATCAGGCACAGGTTAATAATTGGAACAGAGTATTGTTGCTAAAATTCCACATACTCATTGCAAACAAACAAAAATCTTCCAAACATGCTGCAGTCTACTGTCCAGTCAAGAGCAGCTAGCCTTATTATGGAAGCATGCAACTTAGGAATCCATAGAAAGTTGCTTTTTTCTAGATCCAGACAATCTGTTCATCCAGCCCAGGGATGGATAATCTTTTTCAGGGTAAGAGCTGCATGTCAGATAGATGTGGCAGTTCTTATTTTTTAAATACCTGGGCAGGTGTCACAGGCTCCACAGAATCATAGCAGGGGACCTGTGGTAGTGGGCAGTGTAAATTATAGGGCTTCTCCATACAAATGTTCAAAAATGGAATTGTATTGTTGCTATACTTATCCTAGCTGGAGAAGGTATGGAGCCTAGCTGTGAAGAGATAACCATGCTTCCATTTATTTTACAGCCTTTGCTTGTAAACAATACCGTACATCATGATGATGATGATGCAGCAGCAACAAAAGGTGGTATTCATATATATTTTACTTGGAGCTGATCTACTAAAAATAATTACTCTTAATAAAATAAAAAAATGTCCAGTAGCACCTTATAGACCAACTAAGTTTTTCTGGTATAAGCTTTCAGATCTGAAGAAGTGTGCGTGCACATGAAAGCTTATACCAGAACAAACTTAGTTGGTCTATAAGGTGCTACTGAACAATTTTTTATTTTTTATTATTTTTATTTCGACTGTGTCAGAGCAACACGGCTACCTTCCTGAATCTATAATTACTCTTACTTAGTCATTAATTTCAGTTGGTCTCCTCTGGGTAAAACTTGGCTGAATGTCACCTTGAAGCTCCTAAAATGGAAGTGTCAGATGGAACCTCCTGGGTATTGCCTTAATCTCTGGAAAATCTTTTTTTAAAAAAACAACAAAAAACCCAAGATGGGTTGAGAGTTCCCTATTCTGTGGTAATACTCCATAGGAGCACACAAAGACAGAATGAAAGGTGGGAATATACAAGCTCACACAATGGTGTCCACATCTGTGAATACAGTGGTACCTCTGGTTGCGAACGGGATCCGTTCCGGTGGCCCGTTCGCAACCTGAAAAGAACGCAACCCACATCTGCGCACGCGCGGTTCGCGATTCGCCGCTTCTGTGCATGCATGTGATGTCATTTTGCACATCTGTGCATGTGCGAGCGACGAAACCCGGAAGGAACCCTTTCCGGTACTTCTGGGTTGCCGCAGAACGCAACCTGAAAATGCACAACCTGAAGCAAACGTAACATGAGGTATGACTGTAGTTGTATCTTTGCCATTACAGAAAATAATCAGTAAGTAACTATGGCATTCATTCAGCCACATTAACAATACATGTTCTATCTGGGTGAAGAATCCCATTTTCCCAGTTTGAATATGAAGAATATTCAATAAAGGAAGGATACCTGGATTCTGTGCAACAAATAACTGAAATAATTGTACTAGAAATAATCACACATTTTTCTCTGTTTACCCATCTTCCTTTCCTGTTTTCCCTATTGTTTTCATCTTATTAAATTCATATATATTGTAGATATTTCTCTATAGCTATGATAAAATACTGAAAGCACTACATGATCAATAAAGCTTGGGGGGGGGCCTGAGAGAACACATAGTGTCAATAGTTTGTACACCTGAGAAGAAAGTAAAAGAATATCGATTGCTTGTACATGAGAGCATGAGCAAAGTTCTTATTGTTACAGGGTGATTTCATAGCTAGAAGCATCCTTGGAGCATGAACAGCGCGTGAACAGCTCGTGCTGTCCTATATGATTGGCTAACGTGGCATGGCCTGATGTTCGCATAATCTAGTGCGAAGGTCCTTATCTGCTGGCTAGAACAAATTGCTTGGCTTGTATTTTGTATCTTTCTGATTTCAGACAATAAAAGCTGTGCTGCATTAGCCCTAGGAGCAGCCATATTTCGGAACCTATTATGGTGTGAGACTGATTTTTCTTTGGATGCCGAGCTGCAACTCGACACCAAGATGGGTTGAGAGTTCCCTATTCTGTGGTAATACTCCATAGGAGCACACAAAGACAGAATGAAAGGTGGGAATATACAAGCTCACACAATGGTGTCCACATCTGTGAATACAGTGGTACCTCTGGTTGCGAACGGGATCCGTTCCGGTGGCCCGTTCGCAACCTGAAAAGAACGCAACCCACATCTGCGCACGCGCGGTTCGCGATTCGCCGCTTCTGTGCATGCATGTGATGTCATTTTGCACATCTGTGCATGTGCGAGCGACGAAACCCGGAAGGAACCCTTTCCGGTACTTCTGGGTTGCCGCAGAACGCAACCTGAAAATGCACAACCTGAAGCAAACGTAACATGAGGTATGACTGTAGTTGTATCTTTGCCATTACAGAAAATAATCAGTAAGTAACTATGGCATTCATTCAGCCACATTAACAATACATGTTCTATCTGGGTGAAGAATCCCATTTTCCCAGTTTGAATATGAAGAATATTCAATAAAGGAAGGATACCTGGATTCTGTGCAACAAATAACTGAAATAATTGTACTAGAAATAATCACACATTTTTCTCTGTTTACCCATCTTCCTTTCCTGTTTTCCCTATTGTTTTCATCTTATTAAATTCATATATATTGTAGATATTTCTCTATAGCTATGATAAAATACTGAAAGCACTACATGATCAATAAAGCTTGGGGGGGGGCCTGAGAGAACACATAGTGTCAATAGTTTGTACACCTGAGAAGAAAGTAAAAGAATATCATGTCTCAACATGAATACCATTAGCTACTCAACAAAACTCATTCCCAAATTGTCTTCTGAATAAGAGTAAGATATCTATCTGTTCAACAGAGAGGTTATGTTTCCAAATCAAACACTGGATGAAGTAGTTCTGTCTAGTAGCGTTGCTCGTATTTGTTTTATCTCTTTACTGCCAGTAACATTCACTATAGTAGTGGTTCAATCAAAAGTCTACCTCCAACATCTAAGCATTGTCTTTTCAGAATACATTATAAACATTTCAGATTTGTGAATCTAAGACTTTCCCCTACTGAACACTGGCCCCTTAAGATCACTCTTGACATACTGCTATTTTTAAAAATAACCCACATGTACCAGGAATATGTTTACAGAATAATAATCACAGATATCTTATTTCTAATGTTCTGAGAAAACAAGAAGGCTAAAAAAAATAAATTACTTACCATCTCCTTTTCTGTTGACTTTTGCAAAAATGGGACCATAGAGCACCATGGGTTAAGGTCAACTTTGTACATATACAACATATTAAGTATTATTCTGAGAATCAGCAGTATATAAATAACTTTCAGAAAACTTTGGCTAAGCTTTATTTTCAAAGTACTACTCAGTAGACACCAATAACTATTGGACTACCTTCATATAAGCAGCAGTGCAGAAAACAGTGACAAACAGCAAGAATGGGTGGAGTAAAACATTCACTTACATTATTCATGTACTCTGAAAGAAGATCTTGGAGGGCTTGGCGAATAGCATTGCACTCCGTGATAATGCGCTCACGGTGAATATCACGTGTGCAAGAGGAATCTGCTAACAAAGCAGCACCACTGATAATTCCTTCTAAACGCTTTTCTAGCGATGGCCTTATTTTGTCTTCCTTCACAGTAAGAGGATCCAAGACAACCAGATTCTATAGGGAAAGATTAAAAGGGGGCAATAAGAAGAGTACTCATGCTCACATTGGTCTTCTTGAACACATAGCTGGAGTGCATATATCATATCCCCAGTGTAACCATCCTACTGTTTGAATCTTGATAAACGTCATCTCTGAAGGACATCAAGAAATTCAAAGCAAAGTTGTACACTTTTATAGTTCTTGTGAAAAGATCTTGTCCATTGGGTACATTACAATACATGCAAATAGATGGCTGCAAAATGTCCATAGGCAGAAAACCAGGGCAGACCAATTGTTGTATTATTGTTTATGTGCTGGCTAGGGCCGGCCCACAGCAAGGTGAGGTGACTGCCTCAGGTGGCAGGATCCGCCGGGGCAGCAGATCCTGATGTCATTTTTTCTTCCTCCCCTGTTCCTGATGTAGCTCTTCCCTAACCCTTTCTTCTCTAGCAGGGAGGAGAGGTGCCATTTTGGTGTCCACCTCAGATGCCAGAATGTCTTGAGTGCTAGTTACCTTAGAAAACCTGGAGTGTCAGTGCATATAATATGCATATAATATGTGAGATTTGCTCAGATTTTCAGCAGAATGGGGTGGGGGTGGGGCTGGGGGTGTAATAACCCACTTCTCATCAATAGCAAGATAGGAATTAGCTCAACACTGAGATTTATTTATTTTTTAAGCCCATCTCTACTCGCACCCTGTCTCTTCTCTCCCTTGAATGACCCTGTGTCATTCAAACCCCATGGCCCACAGAGCAGTTATCACTGAATGAAGAATAATAAATGTGGCAGAAAGCACAATCTGGTTTCTCCTGCATATGAAGAATTAGATTACTATAGGCAAAGGTTTTCAACCTTTTTGAGTCCACAGCTCCCTTGACCAACTACATTCTTTCAGCAGCATCCCTGTGGGGCTCAGGAGCCCAGTTATGTCACCTCTCACCTTTTGAACACCCTCCCTTGTGGAGTGTTCCCTCATCCTCCTCTCCTCCCTTTTCCTTGCAAGTCCTCCAGGCAGCCACTGCTGCCACCCTGGTCTCCGAGCTGCTCCCCCTGCCCCAAAGAGAGGTGCCTCCTCACACTGCCCCACAGGGACCTGGGAAGCAGCCTGAGGAGCTTGCAGCCAGGGCTGCTACAGCAGATGGCTGTGCAAGCCTTTGGGAGGCAGAGATGCAAGAGGGCATGGCTCACTGGTTGAAACCCCCTGCCCTATGTTAATTTTATGTTTGAAAACTGCCCTGAGAACTTATAGTTGATGTTGCACTAAATACATTCCTAAAATAAAATAAAGTAAAATAAATTGGCCTCAAAGATGAAGATGGATTCCTAGCCCTGTTCCTTTTATCAAATGACAAACTCTGATGTGAAATTCCTCTTCATAGTTTGATCATGGGGCAGATAAAGAAACTGGCCTCAGAAATACTTTTCCATGGATGCTAAATTGCAAAAGTAGTTTTATAAATTAGTATAGTTATCTATTTTTAATATATTTTTATACTGCTTACCATTACAAGTAAATCTCAAAGTAGTATGTAAAGACATAACTAAAATACATTAAAACAATTTCAATAAAAACATTACAGATATCATCAATAATAAAAAGCAGTAATAGCAACAATAAATATCATTTCAGCTTCTGCATGCATCTGACCCCTCCATTTTCTTCCGATAAATGTTGTTGCTCTTGCTGCAAGTGGGGCATCTTTAAACGGGAAATTCAGGAGTTCTCCTGCCACTATTCCATGCATTTAAGTTATCCTGAGCCCTCTCAATAAGGCAAGACATATGCAAATAAATGCTGGTGATCTACTGCTTGGGATTTGAGGGTTAAGTGTTTGAAGAAAAAAAATTAATGAAATGGATCGTGCATTCTGTAAAGTGAGGTTTGTTGAACTAGAAAATTTTGAATGAATACATCAAGATTCTCTCTGTGTGTATGAAATTCCTTTTTCTGAAAATGGAATAATGTTGCTTTGTTTATCCAAAAGCATTATCAATTTCATAATATCTAATTTAAGCAAATCACTTTCCTAATTCACGATAATGGCAACAGACATTAGAAATTCATCAAACTATTACATTTCTTTCTTTCTTATTCTTTTTTGCAGCACCCTCTTCTCACAGCACGGTGAGTCTGCCTGATTGCAAAGGGAAATCACACATGAGAGAGAACTCTTCTGGGAGTCTTTTTCTAACTACAATACGAATTCATGAAAATTAGCAGTATTTAATTAAGCAAGAAATATCTTTTTCTGTGACTTCTTTCAGAGAGGAAAATTAAGGAACTGCAGCAACGAAAGCTTAATTTGGGGTTGTGTGGGGTATTTTGAGGAACTATGTACTATAATGAAAACAAACACATTTGTAGAAATGTCTGAATGAACAAACTAAATTTCAAAATGCTGGGCCAGCTCCTGCACCTGGTTGGCCTTGTGAGTGAGGCCCACCCCACCTGGAATGTCCAGTGTGGCCAGAGGTGGGTGGTACCAGCTGCCCATCCACTCCCCTGTCCACACAAGAAGATGACGGCCTCCCGGGACCAACTGCAACTTTATGGAGACAGAGAAAGCTATATTTAAACTCTGACTTTTTTCATATAATCTAACTTTCCATTTTGATGTGATCAAATGGGTCACCTTCCACATAGTTGTTCCTTAGTGGATTCTGACCAAACATCAGCATCAATGAAGCCAAATCTATGAGAAGAGTGCATTCATCTTCTAAAGAGATGGCTGTCAGTGGGTTGAGAGGCAAAAGAATTAAGAGTAACGTTAGAAGGTTTCGGCATTTCAAAAGTTTGAGAAACATCAGCATGGGTCAAATCTTTTTCTAAAAAAAAACTAGACTTAAGAAACTGCTCTCAGCAAATATGTACCGAGAGGCTTGTGTTAAAGTTTCCTTCAAAATGACTGTCATCTGAAACAACCAGCAGCTAAAATGGTGTAGGAAGATAAAACTAAAAAGCTGAAATGAGCAGGCCCTTCCTGTGCCCTCTTATTTCCATCAAATATCTTAAGCTAGCAAAATCTCAAGAATATTATAACCAAGACACTGCTACAAGGTACATCAAATCATTAAGCTCTGTTAACAAATTATTAAATAATTACACTTGCCCACTCTAATGTACAGAGTTGTGGATGAGATTTTGCAGGCTGTCCCAACTTTAGATTTCAGTATATATGTTGCTATTATTTTTCAAGGAATTGGTCTACATCATATGCTTATGCCCTGCTTCCTTACTCTGGATTGTGAATGCAGATTGACATTCCAAAGAGAAAGCATTCCTATTAGAGATACTGCGAAGGCCCGTCCTTCAACCATAACTGTTGATCTGTGATTTGCAGTCTGAGTTCCTTCACTGGCAATTCTAATGTTCCAATCGGAGGGATTGATAATTTTGGCAGAGCTAGGCAATCCATTAAAAACCATACTGACAAAGTGAAGGAGAACAGAGAAAATGGGTGGTATTCAACTTTTTTTAAAAAAAAACACCTAGGCCCACTGAAATTAATGAACATGACTAAGTTAGGTCAATTAATTTCTGTGGGTCTACTGTGAGTAAAAGTAGACCACCCAATGTTTTTTTAAAAAATATTCAAAATTTTCAACTTACTTAAAAATAATAATAATTATTTAATTACATTAAATAATTAATGTAGTATGTCCAAATGCTGCAGTGGTGATCATCTTAGGTACATAAATTCATTTTATATTAGTTCACCTGGGCATCCATAATTTCAACACAAGAAAGTGATGTTTGATTCATGATATGGTGTTTTAATTCTTACTACAACCTCTGTCAAATCTCTATGTTTCCTTCATTAAAAAAAAACTGAGGGTGGAGGAAGCCTGAAGATAAAGAGCCATCTTATTATCCAATTGAGCTTACCAACAGAAATCTGATATGTGCTGGGCAACTTGCATTGATGAGTTTAAAAGGAGCAGTAACGAAATCAATACAAATGAGTGAGCATTTGCAGTAGACAGATCTGATCAAACAGATTTTTTAATCTGTCCTGCCTGAGTGCTTCATGCGTTTTGCTCCTGTAGAATTAATGGTGTGGTAAGAAGATATTAGATTTAAATGGAATGCTTAGCTACAGACTTTTCCACCAAGTTTCCAGTTTTATACATCATCTGAAATACTCGTAACAGCGCCACTCTAACTTGGTTTCACTTCAGATTAGAGACACCGACAAAACTCTCTCTCAGAAAAGAAATTGGAGGGGGCCTCCTTAACATCCTCCTCAAAGAAAAGATTAGCTTTTTTAAGCCCCTGAATTCTTCGCCACTTTTGACTGAAGTCTAAGCTGGAGAAGGATTGCCATCTTGGACCCCAGCAAGGTTTTTCTCCCTAATGGAGAAGCTAACGGAGTGGCTCTGCTCCATTAGCTTGCAAGGAGTGAGGACTCTACAGAGCCCACTCCTGCACCCACAAATCCCTCCCCCCCCAAAAAAAAACCCAAATGCAATTTAATGAACTGACTTAACTCCATTAGCTTGCTTTGGGGGTGGAAAAACCCTTGCAGGGAAAATTGAAGGTGGCGGGGGGGGGGGGAGAGAGAACCAACCACTGAGGATAACTAGGGAGTTTCTCCCTCACACCGCCTCCACTTTTTGCCACTGCAGCATCTCTTCCCCCACACCCCCAGGAATTAATGGCACCATTTGTTCCTGTGGGGCTGGGAAAGTGACACAACAGAGGCCAAATCCTGGGGTAGTGGGAGATGGCCACACACTCCTTTAGGCCCTACAAGTATCTTTGTCCTGCCCCCATTAGAACCACCTTATCTGATTTCACAGACAAAGAAGCTGCCACAGGTGGATCAGGAAGCGTATGTTCAGGTCCTTTGTACAGGGGATCGAGAAAGAACTGTCTATCTGTCATTCCTTTCCCTCTACTTCAGATGGCTATGATGATATTTCTCAAGAGATGCTGGAGGTAACTGGAGCACTTCTGAAGCTAGGAGGTGCCACAAGGTCTTCAAGTTATCAGGGTCTTCATCACAGAAGTAATCTTCTTGGCTCAGGCCAATGAATTATCTCATCTTACCTCCTGGTCCACAGATTGATATCTCCACGTATGTCATTTGAATAGGGCTATGGACATACAAAACAGCTATGATTCCCAAGAACATGCTCAACTTTTTAAAATTGTGGTAGGAAGAGCTGTGGTATAGTCATGCTTCCCTAAGAAGGCTGACTAAATCAACACATTGCAAGCATTTCTAGACCTGTTGAAGTCTCCCTCTTATACAGCTAGCTGGAATATAGTACAGTAACTGACCATCTAATGGGGGCTTTAAGTTTCAGTTATTACACATTTAGTATTATACTTTTTATTACAGTCACAACTATATAGTATTGTTAGAATGTATTGTAAGCCTAAAGCTTTGGGAAGTATTCAGACTCACTTCAGCTTTTGCCCAAGTATAAATCCTAACTTCCCATACTGTATATGAATGATATTAAGAAAGCTTCCAGACAGTACTTGTTGAGTAAGCTCTTTCAAATATTTCCAGACTATAAACATTTAATGAGATTGGCTCCCAACAGACTGTTTACTACATCCATTTATTTCATTGTACTTTATTTACAATGCAGAAGATAGAGCAAAGGTTGTTTCAGGTTCTTATCCAATGCCATTTCCCCATAAATAAAGAAAAATGAAACAATTTAATTCTCAAACATTCGTAAAAGGTTAGATACTCAATAAATTTTGCTTTATCTAACTCACTCAGCCCAAGGTACCATTTGCACTACTTGGGTTAAAGAAATATAGAAAAAGTCTATGAACAAGAAGACATTTAACAATATAATCTAAGCCCAGGATTCAAAAATGTATATATGGGTGCTCTGCTTATACACAGAGGCAGCCCCCCAACTCCTTGAACACCTCCCCCTCAAACAAGGCACACCATTAAGGATAGTGACCTGTTGCTAGAAGTAGATTCCCTCCCTCCACAATATGTGAGAAGCATATTTTAATATATTTAGTATATTTTAACTTGCGTTGTGCAAAAATGATCATGTATTGTCCCATAAACACATATTTCAGATGGTTCAAAATGCAGCAGCTGATTAGTTGGCTGGAGCTGGTTGATGGGAGACTATAATACCCATGCAGAAAGAACTATATTGGCTCCAATTTGTTCTGACGCACAATTCAAAATATTAGTTTTGATCTTTAAAGGCCTAAATTATCTTGATCTAGAATGGCCCAAGAATTGCCTCCTCCTATTTGAACATGCCTCCATGCTCTAAAATGGGTCACCAAAAAGGTCCCTCCTCCAAATCCCATCTCTTTCTGAGCTCGTACTGATGTGGGCAAGAGTAAAGTCTTTCAAACAGTGGAACCTTCCTTGTAGACCCCTTTGCCCAAGAAAGCCCAGTAGCGTAGCTTCATTTTCACATTTGGGGGAAAATATATATGAAAACTTTTATTATTCAGAGCATTTTTGGAGAAGTTATTGTTAAATAGTAAGAAGGTGTGAGACGAACTTGCTACTGTGAATTTTTGAGATAGCTATCTGTTGCCTTTATGTCACCTTTTGTTGCTTTTAGTTTTAAAGATTGGGATTTAATTGGGTAGTTGATTGTCTTGATGTTTAATTGTCAATTTATTGCTGTTTTCATGGAGCCCTGTGGAGGTATTTGTCATTTGTAAAATTAGTCAATGGGCTCTATCAATGCTATAGTACTGGGGTACCTATTGTGATACCCACCAGATGTTGTGGACTACAAGTCCCATTATTCCTTGAGGCAGATGGTGCACATTGGCTATCCCCTGCTTTAGGAGATACCATGTTTACACCTGATCCCTAGGTCACAGGTCACAATCACTCACCAAAACAAATCAGCCAGGCTGGAAGCGTATCTGAGAACTGCTACGAAACTGATCACACATAGGTCAGTAAGATTTGGTTTTCTGGTATGCTACTTTCCACAAGCACATCATTTAAAATAAATTAGGCCATTTTACAGAGTGTGCTACAGTGCTACACATTCACCTACCTCAAATTCATCAAGGGCACTTCCAAGAGTAGCAGACTGTGATGTCGACTGAACCTTTTGATTTCCAATTCCTTGAGAAGCATTGGAAATGACATCAAGAGCATTCTGTATTTCATTACAAACAGAGTCCTTGCTGGCTGCAAGAGATGAAATGTCTGAATGTTCCAAACAAGCAGAGCAAATTGAATGGAGAAGAGATGAATTTTCCTTCAGAGAAGCACGTGCTGCTGCAATGTCATCGCGTTGATTGTTGGATTTTAAATCCTGTCAGGAAAATCATACATATGGGGATTATTACTATTATTATTTCAACTTAAATACTGGCAAGCAGTGTAGCAACACATTATTTCAATTTGTTCTGTATCCACTAAAGAAAGAAAGAAAGAAAAAAAGAGAAAAATTCAATAAAGATTTATTAACTGTGTATTCTCCGGCAGAACGTTTTGCTGCTCATTTATAACATGCCTAGGATGAAATGGAAAGAAATGAATTCTAGCTCAGGAGGAAAGAAATATTTTTGTGTTTGTTTGTTTTTCAGAGTGCCTGGAATAGTTCAGTCCACAGTAATTGTTCACTGCCCTTAAGAACACATGAACTGCCTTTCTGGATCATGTAGCCTGAATATCTTCTCCAGCTAGCTGCCCACCAGGATTTCCCAAGTAGGGCATGGCAGAGTGAAAAATAGCCACCTCCTATTGCTTGCATGCAGTATCTGACAATCAGAGTTCACCCCCACAGCAGCCCTCTCTAACCCCTATGCTGTAGGAGCCAAAAGCTGCAGAACAAGACAACAGCCCTTTAAAAGCACAGGCAGATCTGACGAAGGTCTCAGGCTTGTCCACCTTGCTGAAGTAACAGCCTTCCTTGTGAGAGAACATGCTATCACAATGCTCTGTCAAAGGTGCTGCTTCTGACCTGTTGAAGCCAGACCCTACAGGATCTGCCTTGATCTGACCTTACTAGATATGACTTTGTCTTACTTGACCTAATTTCACTGCATATGACTCTACCTTACTTTCCCTTACACTCTACTGCCAGTAGGTGCCACTGTTCTGTTCCACTTCCCTTGTGAGCCTGGAGACAGCCCAAACAGGACAATAATTTATTTTGAATTGTCTTAAGAAATGGCAATGTTTTAACTGTGGTTAAATTAGTGTTGCACACAGGCCCCATATCCTGATTCAACCACGTCATTAAAGAATATACTGTATCAGCTCAGCAACAGACAGGAGACTCTTTTTCAATAGCAACTCAAAACACTAAATGCTTAGTAGGAGGAGGAACAATGAATTTGTTTGTCCACGATGAGAAGTTATAATTTTAGTTTCCAATAGTATGTATTTGGATACCACATCAAATGTAACACCATAAAGTGTTTGTTTATTTTTTAAAAATGCAATAAACAGAAACAGTGGGAATATAATCAGAAGCTACAGGTCATGGCTTCAAAGAACAATCATAAGCACAGCAGAAGCATTTTCATGAATGTTCGGCATGTTTCAGGTAATGCATATGGGTTAATGAGTATGCAAACAATGCAACACAATCCAATGCTATATTCTGCCCAGTCAAGGAAATATATTAATTTTCACTGGAAGTACTTGTCACTATGTAAAGAACAGAATTATTTATAGCACTTTTTGAGTGTTCAAAGTCCTTCACAAACCTATTAATCCAGACTACTGTGCTGACCAGATTGCTAGCGCCAGCTGCTCAGTTTAAGCACAATGGAGAATCATCATACCCATTCTCTAGGATTCCTAGCTATTCATGAACCTGATCCTGATTGATCTCAGTACCCTAAGTAGGTCAGTTTGTTGACCTCATCTTGCAAATAGTGTGGTTCATTTAATCCAACCTAATAGGTTCACGGCTGAGGTGAGATTTGAACCTGAAGCACCGGCAGAAATAGTTCAAGATACTATAGTACCAAGAGTACAAGGTGTACAATAATCAAAACTAGAAAAAATAGAGTGAGCAAGGAAACTGAGAAAAGAAAGAACCGACAGTTTTAAGGAGCAAAATGTTGGCTACCGCTATATAACACATTCTAAACAGAGAACAATAAAATATAATTTTAAGAAGATTCCTGGAGAAAAAAGCACCCAAGGTTAGCACTTGTAGCTGCACAAAACATCCTGGGATTTGTAATTATGAACTAGAGCATGCTGGCATCTCGCCTTAGATAAAAAGCTCAAAAAAGCAGCATGTTTATTTTTCTAGTAACACAAAGAAAATAAATTCCCTGAGCTTATTTCTACTTTGCAACTCAATTCCTATTCAGCCACATTTTACAAATATAGCAAAAGGGCAGGAAAAGTGGGGGTTGTCTTTTATTTTTTTAAAAAATATTATTATCGTTTAGATTTTTGTGTACCATTTCTATCCTCTGCCATAAAATCCCTAATAAATGCAGCTTAATTACTGTCTAACAACGGTATGAAGGTTAATTATACTTGCACATGCCTCAAGATCCATTAATATTTTTCCTTTCAGCTTTTTCCTATTTCCCCACACACAACTGTATAATTTTCATGTAATTCACATTTTGAGAATTTGTTGCAGGGAGTATGAATAAAAACAGTCCTGGAAGGGCTGTAGCTCAATAGTAAAGCATTTGTTTTGCATGCAAATCGCCCCAGACTCTTGCATCTCCAGGTAGGTCTGGGAAAGAGCCTATTTGATGCACTTGAAAGACACTGCTGTTATAAACAATGGGTAGCTAGATAGATCAGTATCTGTCTGCTAAAAGGGGCGGGGGGATAGGCTAGAGTTCTCCATTAATGGCTGTATGAACAGAAACAATCCCTTAAAATGAAAATATTGTTTCGTATCTTCCACCTGTGTGAAGTCTGCAACTCCAGTGAATTCAGATTACACATAAAAACCAGGTGGAATGAAAACTAGTTTATAGGAATGACACTTTGTGATGGTGCTCATTTGGGGCCATATCAGATTAGAATCAATGTGGCAGGTCTTGGAAGAGGATACCAGATGTGGCAGTACTGGAAAGCAATACTTTTCCAGCATGCTATCTACAAACAGCTTGAAGTACAATCAAGAAACATGTAACCTATTCTAACTGCAAAAGGAAGGAAGATATAAGATTACAGTGGTACCTCTGGTTACGTACTTAATTTGTTCCGGAGGTCTGTTCTTAACCTGAAACCATTAACCTGAGGTACCACTTTAGCTAATGGGGCCTCCCACTGCCGCCACCACGCGATTTCTGTTCTCATCCTGAGGTAAAGTTCTTAACCCAAGGTACTACTTCCGGGTTAACAGAGTCTGTAACCTGAAGTGTTTGTAACCCGAGGTGTTTGTAACCCAAGGTACCACTGTATATAGAAACTATATTCTGGTGATCAGATTTCAAGTTACATGAAGCATAGCCCAAAATCAGTTACCAGGAAAAGCATTTGTGACAACTTTACCAAGTTGTAAATGTGAGTCCTTATTAAATTACAGTCATGATCCACCTCTCAAGTTATCAGCAATCATGCTAAGAATTATATTAAAGGAGATGGCTTTGCTGGCTGGATTGTTGGTATTTACTAGAACCCTTTTTTAAAAAAGAAACCAATATCTTACTTGTTCCTTGGTAAAAGAGGTAAATTAATCCGTCTTTTTAAATATGCATCTAGCTAGGGAAAGTTTGCAGCCAGTGTGGCATATAATTGCCATTCTGCATCATATTATTGCTCCACATATATATTATTCACCAGGAAGTATCATATGAGCTTAACCTAATGTGTGTTTCCAAATACACCATCAAAGGGGTGCTGAGATAGTAGATAGTGGAAAATGGATTTTATATCTATCCAAGAACCTGAATACTGTTGCATGCCACCACAGTCCTCAAGCGAGATTCCAGGGGTTCCAGGCACTTACCCATAGTTTGTGTTTCCTTTTGGAAATGAGGCACAGCAGAAACAGTGGTGTCTTTATGATATATGGTTTAGGTAAAGGTAAAGGTACCCCTGCCCATACGGGCCAGTCTTGCCAGACTCTGGGGTTGTGCGCCCATCTCACTCAAGAGGCCGGGGGCCAGCGCTATCCGGAGACACTTCCGGGTCACGTGGCCAGCGTGACATTGCTGCTCTGGCGAGCCAGAGCCGCACACAGATACGCCGTTTACCTTCCCGCTAGAAAGCGGTCCCTATTTATCTACTTGCACCCGGGGGTGCTTTCGAACTGCTAGGTTGGCAGGCGCTGGGACCGAGCAACGGGAGCGCACCCCGCCACGGGGATTTGAACTGCCGACCTTTCGATCGGCAAGCCCTAGGCGCTGAGGCTTTTACCCACAGCGCCACTCGCGTCCCACTGATATATGGTTTATTTACACATATATACAACCTGAGCCTACAATGGAGGGGTTCACAGACTCATAATACTACCCCACTCCCCCCAAAAAACAGACACCTATCCCCAGATGTACAACAAACACCTTTCCTGGAGAAAAATCACAGACAGGTTAACAAACACATTAGGATACACATTTTCAAAAACAGATAATAAAACCCGATTATTCCACATAACAGCATTAACTTTTTAAAACTTTAAGATGATTTTGAGCTTCACTACCACAACATTTCATTCTCATTTTGTTCTACATGAGTTCTCAGCACCATTTAGAAATTCAGCTGGCCACTGAGGTTCCATGCTTCAGTTGGTAAAGTATTACACTTCTGAATTTTTCAATTTCTTATGCACACACCAGTTGCCACCCACAGGCATGTACATATCTACTTGTTCTGAAATCAGAGAAAAGAATGTATTATCTGTTGTAACTTCAGCTTTTTTCATATGCATTGTGCACCAATTTCAGTCGGTGTATGTGTTTTGACTTGTTCTCAGATACTTTTAGTTTAATATTTTTAAGAAATCCAATTAGTAGCCTCTTATGGGATTAGTGTCATTTGGATTTGTCCTTCACCAATACCTTCACCAGTTTGTGGATCCATTCTGCAATAAATCAGCTCAGACTCTTCAGGTATATAATCTTTCCTGGTCTTGGATGCAGTTTGATTCCAGTGAGCTGTTCTTAATACTTGGTCTAGATTCATGTGAAACTGTCAGGGTTGTAGAGACACACAACACATACAGAATAGATTTCACCCCACCCACCCCGATTATTTATTTATTTAAACTACTTAAATTCCACTATATAGCTACAAGAGGCTCTCAAATATTATTTCAAAATAGTCTCTCAATGAAATCAAACTCAAACTAATACAAGGAGTACAGGTGGCATTATGTCCATA